AAATCAACGACAAACGACACCTAACATTACTTTAAAAGCACTTTACACAAATTATTCTTGCCGAATTAAGACGAACTTCGTGGCTCCTAGACTGCACTTCCACGGCGTCTTCATTTTACTCCCAGTACAAGAAAGTGTCGATGGCGACTGCACTGCCTGCCCCTTGCGGTCAACAGCAGAAGACTGTCTTCAGCGTGTGTTCGTCTGTTAGAAGGGGAAATTGAGAAGGTGAAATGGCAGTGGATATAAGACAAGGCGATTTTAATTTGATGTTAGAGTAGATACAAATTTTAAATACACTTACAGAAAAATAATTCCTTGAGCAGAAGCTGAGTTCTTAAGATAAAATAAAAGTTTCATAAATTATTTCTCTTAATCTTGTGTTGGGCAAGGCCGTGGTCTAGGCAACACGGAGTTTTCCTCCGTGGCATCCCAACAATTACTCCATTCACACACAGAAGAAGGCAATGGCAAACCACTTCTGGATCATCTGCCAAGAACGTATATGAACAGGTCCCAGTCCGAGAAAAGGATCGAAGGATCCTGTTCATATGGACCTGTCGTCAGACAGAACACTAAATAAATAAATAAATGTAAGCAGATTTTGCAATTTTTATCAAATCACTACAACGTAAAGTCTATAGAAAACGAAAGTATTTATGAGTATTTCTTCTCTGGGATCTTATGGTCGCCACTGGATTCAACTTGGCTGTACCCAAATGTTCACGGTTTGTAGTGCATCTGACGTGATTTAATTACGTACTTTTTTTTTTCGTTTTATATATGAAACTATTCAGATTAGGTCAAAACCATTTATTCGTAACTTTTAGAATCTGAGTATTAATCGGTATTGACGTGATAATCTTACGAGCACAGATAATATCTTTCCACAGTTTCAAGAATTTGATAAGATAGTGTAATTGCGTCATATTGTGAATATTATAACAATTATTTATTTTAATCCGTCTTATCACAATATTTAAAATTTCTTATAATTAAGATAATAAAATATCATTGATGCGATCAATCGATATGGAACATCAATGATATTTTATTATCTTAATTATAAGAAATTTTAAATATTGTGATAAGACGGATTAAAATAAATAATTGTCAAGAATTTGAATAAATTTCTGAATTTAAGTACAACTTTCATAGATAAATTACAGAAAACTGACACTAGAAATATATTATTATTTATGAGTAAAGAGATAAAGAGAGAATATATTACAATATTAAGAATAAATGGGCGAAATTTAAAACTAGAGCATTTCGTGACGAAATACCTAAACGGAAAGCTGATATTAAATGCGGTGTTGGAAATTTCATCAGCTTCATTCTTCTGTAATGCAAGAGGTATTTAAGAGACATATGACGGCTTTTTCTGATAAGGGGGAGGAGCGGAGATAACTCTGCTGAGTGGATGTGAGAACTCAGACAGCTGGGACGGCAGCACGCACTTCTACATTATGTGCGTGCGTGCGTGGTGTTGGTGACAACGAAAACTGTCATAATGAATCTTTACGCCATATTTGTTTTAATGAAACATCTCTTCAACGCAGAAAGTTAGCCTCTTTTAACCTGTATTACTTTATAAAATGAAGAAAGGAAATTTTTACTTATGACAAGTCCACGTCTGAAATTGTCCCCACTTAATATATTTCGATTGATATATACTACATCGTTAAACTTCGTAGTATCTGGACAGGACACGGAACAATCAACTCAACATAATTCAGGCTCACACACGGATCTTAGAACATGAAACAGTAACAAAATTATGCCACTGACTTGGAGGATTCTGTCGTCTGTGAATGAAATTGTAAAATTTTAGTGATTTTAAAAATATTTTATATGCTACTATCTGAATCGTATAATTTCTACAGAACTGATGATGACAAATTATTTCGTTATGACGCCAAAGGACATTTAACAGTTGTGTACAGTGTGAAAATAAGATGTGTATAAATCGACGTTGTTTAAACACGAAAATAGAAACTGGGAACAAAACAGAATTGCATATTATAAAATCAACGAAATTACAAAAGTAATTTCAGAAATAAAAACATAAAATTTAACTGAAAGAATGGAAAATTAAAAAGAAAATTGTCATTAACACATTTTACGTATGATATCAGATAGACTTCCAAAAGAATTATCAAATTATAAACCAAGAGGACATAGAATTATGAGACGAACCATGGCAAAACGGAAAGATACAATCACTTCAAGTCGGAAACAGGCCTCTGGCCTATATCCTTGAAGCAAACCTATTTTCTGATTGCACAATAAAAATAACACTTGCAGTATCGTTGTCTTTACAACTATAACAAATGTATACTGGAACCAGTGACATGGAAAACATTGGGAAATATTTGTTTTCCAAATTAGATATCCTTTTCCACTATTTTAACATAAAAGCTCTCACCGGTGTACGTGAGTGATATTATCAAATCTAAAACTGACTCGACATCGAAACAATCGACTTTAAACCGTGGGAAAATGTTGAAGTTTTATTTCTGGCTATCGAACGGGGGAAAATTTTTTCCTTACGTAGGCAGATATTGACTGGTGGTAAGACAGAGGCTGCGTGATCCATGGAAAATCCAACCAGCCCACTCGTTGCTACTGATTACATAAACACCCACGTCTTGAACTTTCTCGTGCTTTTATTTTATATAAAAAAAGGTTTTTAAAGCTATTGTAAAAAAACGGATTCAACATTTTTACGAAAATCTTATTCCCTGAAATTGTTTTGGATTAAATCTTACTTTCAAATTTCTTAATTTCTTAATTGTTCTCATTCTGCGGCCTTAATTTTATCTTAGTGCGTGTTCAAATATTAAACATACAAATCGCTTTGTGACAAAGATAATCCACACCAGATATATCACTCGACATAATTTAATACACGCCTTCCTTGAGAAGGCTGGTTAATACTAGACATATTAATTACAGTATATAGAAGCATACAATCTTCTCTTTTCTGTTAATTAAGGTAATGACAAGCAGTCTGAAACAGAAGGAATAGCCCAGGACGTATATGACCTAAATCGTAACATGTATTTTATATCAGCTACATACGTTCTTTTGAAAAAGTATCTAAACTCAACGAATGCATCATAGAGAGACTGAGTTTGTGTGTCTGTCCGTCCAGGCACATTAACCGATTTATATAAAATTTAATATTCAGTGTACAAAAAAATATTTTCGGTTAAATATAGTTTTCGTATGTTTCGGTCCGACACAAATATTATTTTGCATGAAGCAGAAAACAGGTCTATCGCAAATACTTCACAACTGTTCCAAGAAAACGTGTCTACGGAAAAGGTTGTTTGTTAATAATCTTTTTCTTCTTAAAGTGCCTATCCGTTCCGGATAGCGACCAGCATAGCAATCTGAATTTTACTGTCTGCTACTTGAAACAGCCTCTCCAGTGGACATCGAGAACCAACTTTTCAGGTTCTGAAGCAAGGAGGTCCTTGGCCTGCCAGGTCCCCCTCTTTCCGAATACTTTCCGCTAGAATTATCAGCTGAATCAGCCCGTATCTATCACTATTTCTCATGATATGACCGAAATATTCAAACTTTCTCCTTTTTATGGTGTTAACAACCTCGACGTCTTAGCGGAGTTTCTCGAGAAATTTTTTGTTGGTTACACGGTCAATCCAGGAAATTCTAAGATTACGTCGGTACAACCACATTTAATAATGTAAAATACATATTCCATTAAAATTTAAACTTTCAATTCAAACGTTGCATATTAAGCGAAATAGTAAGAAATCATTACACCATGGAGTAGGGTGTCTGTGATACGAGAAACTTGCGTACTGAAGAAGTTTACGTACTGACCGCGTCAGCTCATATCCACGTACGATATATCGATCACGTTTTTTTTTTGCAATATGTGTAATAAGAGAATATTCGAATTTCGAAATTCACTTTTTTTACTCATAGATACGTCACGAAGCTGCCTAATATTATGTAACATAATTAAGACCAATTGCTTATCAGCATTTGAATGATGAATTGGGAGATGTTGTCTGAATGTTGTGTTATTTGATCAGTTTTAAGGGTGTTCCTGTGTGTAAGAGCTTTCTAGCTTCACCACTCGTTGTTTATAGGTATTACCCTTGTTTCATTGCAGAGTCGAATTCTCGAGGACGCGACCATAATGTGCAACTCCTGGTCTCCACGTCACAATGTAGGTCACTCAATACTTACTACTTCTACAAATTAGATCTTTCAATTTGTCCGTCATTATTTCGAGTTTGCAGCAAAGTCATCGTTTTCTGGAGGGCGCCGATCTGTGCAGGAGACTTACTTAGGTCCACTACCAAAAAAAAAAAAGCCTTCAATGGGTTTGATTTGTTTGTTAATTTCCTGAAAACTACTTATTGGAGATTCCGTGTGAGTTTAATGAATCTATTACTGTGATATTAGCGAGTATAAAGCATCTGACGTTATTGTTCTGTGTAGGATTTGAGGTTTTCACTGCGCTGAGTCCGAAGATGGCTGTCTTCTGCGTTGTAGCGCCGCGTAGTCTGGTAGAAGTTTACCGACGTTTCGGAGGTGGTTACTGCTTCCATCATCAGGACAAAGACCCAGAAGACAGCCATCTTTTTCGTGTGACGTGTTCTTTGTGTCCTGAACAAATGTCAAACGCGAGTGTGACCCTTTGAAGTCGAAGCTCGTCTAAGTAACATTTAATATAATTCAGTCCGTACCGCGAAGAAAACACTGCACTTCACCATTACAAAGATCAACCGAGTAGGATCTGAGGTTTTCAAGGCGGTGAGTCCGAAGATGGCTGACTTCTGGGTTGTAGCGCCGTGTAGTCTGGTAGATGTCCATCAACGTTTCAGGTCTCCTTGCTGCTTCCATCATCAGGGCTACAACCCAGAAGACAGCCATCTTCAGATATTGTTCTGAGTTATGGTGTCGTGAATTACGATATCTACCTACGAGCCTACACGGTGTCAGAACCAAGAACATCGTAATCGTGACCTTGCTTAGTAGCAATCGCCAGATTTCACGCTTCAAAACCACGAAAGGGATTCACCCCCCCCCCCCCCTTAACTAGCAGATATCCCCTGCTCGTATTTTTACGTTATGGAACAATTTTGATGTGACCTTGAAACTTGTAATTTAGTGACGACTTGTAAAATCAAGGAGACTGACTATATATAAGCACATGGGCGATAAAAAGATTGCATACACAATTGAAAATTTAATTCAGACATGAGAAAACAAGGTGTAAAGATTAGTACTAAAATAAATCCTGGGAAATATGTGTTAGCTGGTTTACGTCAGAGTCCAATATAAAGAACGTTCTAGCCCCATATCAGTCAGACTTCTCGAACAGCTGAACACCTATATAATTCACTGTTTCTCATCCATTTTAGTTTAGTTAGGCAAATAGCGTGTTTAATACAGTGTTATTAAGTCCCGTAGCAATATTGAATTTGGTCTTCTAATTCTAAGCAAAGTGATATAAAATTATCACCACACACATTTTGGATTAAATTAAATAATTTAGAAATGTATCGAGATGCAGAGAGTTTACTGGAAGATTCAGGGTCTTGATCGCGTAGTTTTGTGTGTGGTTTGATGGGAATACTTAAATCCGTGCTGAATTAGCTACAGAACACAGTAAAAACATAACAGATATAGCATACCTTTGATAGTTTTTACTGGAAACATGTATTCTATTCATCACACATAGTTACCATACCATAAGCAGTAATATGCAGCTTATAAACCAGGCACCAAACTGGTGGCCAATTGATCAATACAGCAGACATTTCTCTCTGATCATTACACTGTTTATGTTTTAGCTTACATCCAAATCAGCAATCACAATGGGACAGATATACGCCAATATTTAGGCAATGCTACTATTGTGTTTGCTAATTAAACAACAGCGTCATTTATACTAATATCCCAAACCACTGATTTGTGTTGTCTAATGATGTTACACGTTCACCAAACGAGAGGATTAAATATTTCGTCAATAGGAGGTGTTTTTAACTTGTCATAACAGAATAACAAATACGATTCCTAGGGCCAGTAGCAGGTTGTGTTCAGCTAGATAAGACGATAAATATTGACATTAGATAAGAACTAAGAATGTTTAATTCAAACGAATAAACACTTTACTATTAATCAGTGGATTGACGAATATCTGAAAACAAAACTTGTTCATATAAACCTTAAAAAGAGCTTTCCTTTAATTTGTACTCTGAAAGATACATATAAACTGAATTCACAATGTAAGATATAGATCTCATTTATTCTCATAATTTATTTAAAATATTTTTGTACATGGTGCTTATTAAAATAAATTAAAATACTTTGTGGATCTATGCAGTGTAGTATACGTACTGTTAATTATTTTAGTCAGCAACAAATTTATATATGCAATTAACGGGCTTCAAGACAACTGAGGAATTCAAATTCACAAATACCATATTTGAAAAATCTGTGTTCCCCGAAATGAAATGCAATAGATAAGTTACTTGGAAATGTGTTGTATTCCAAAAGTCTGTTCATTTTTTTTAACTCTGAAATCTATTTTCCATCGAGATGGTATCATAAAAAGAATATTAGTTTTCCAAGGTAGCCAACACCAGGCTATTTAACCCGTAACAAATAATAATATTTCCCTTGTCTATTCACTTGGCTCAACTCGTTACGGCCCGGTTCACGCAACGGGACGGCAAGCCAGATAATTAACTCGCTTTCGTATCAACAAAATTATTAAAACAGTAGGTCTTCAGCTTCGTTCACACGTACAGATGATCGTCAGGTCGGACGATCGGAGATCGGGGGCTCACGGTAACCCTCCCCCCACCTCTGTCGCATCGCTTTTGCCACAAATTACGCGTCGCTCGTCACAGACGTAATTCGTCAGCGTCGCTCGCTCCTCATCGCGTTTTGAGTGCGACGCTGATCTGATGGAAGGGTGCAGCAGGGATTAAGTCTGCTGTTTCTCACAGTCGCTAATTCGCTGCAGTTCCCACAATCCCCTTCGCCACCAACCCTTCACGCACCAAATCCCAGACGATGTTTCCGACGATTAAAAATTCTTAAATTTTTTTTTAAAAAAAATATTTCAACTGAGGTAAGGATTAGAATATTTGTACCATATTCAAAATAAAAATAAACCCTATATGAAAACAACAACCAACAGTAGTTAGATTGATGAGATGATGTTCTGGGTTTCGGCGCCGTGTAGACTCGTCTACACGGCGCCAAACCCAGAATAACTTCTTCACCGCCATGAAAACTTTAAGTCTTGAATATTACGGTACAGATAAGCCCCCAACTTACGCAATGGTAGTTGCTTTAATGGAAAATGCTGCTCGACGCAAATTATTTCCTTTAACAAAACGTATGTTCGATACAAAAACTGTAACAGAAATTCTTGAGCGGATATTTTTCAACGAGAAACTTTGTGAATTTCATCTCTATTGACCTCTTAAGAGGAAAACACGTTTCATAAAATATATATTATATTTACATATATAAATATTACTTCAAGTAACGAGCAGATATACGTTAAATACTATTTATTTACTTATTATATGTACTGTCGAAGTAATATTAACACTCCTCATTATTCTTTAAGCCGCTTAAATTAATTTAAATTAAATATGGTAAAGACTCGTGGAGGTTAATCGGAGGATAGGGAGGTAAAATAGAGTCAGAAAGAGATACAGTCTTTGATCCTTGATCAATAACTAATTTATGGTGTTGAAATGAAGCCTAATCTTGCAATGTATTAGTGTCTCCTTTCTCTTAGAAAAAATAAAACAAAAGAAATACATACACACACGGAAATGCGTAGTGCAAATGCGGGAAAAAGATTTCAAATGAAGTAATGTAACTGTCAAAACGAGAATTGTCATTATTACTGTCTATAATGATCAATTTTTTTTCGACTCAGTCAGCCTAACTAAAGGTGTCCCCAAAAAAATGTATACACAACCATTACATACTTCAGAACTGTGTAAACAACTTTTTTTTGGCTAAACCCTGTAGAATAAAGCACAATGCGCGGAGAGTTATATGCGTGAACAAAATGTTAAGAATGTATCCGGGAGAAATCGGTATGTAAAGTGACTAGTTACGGGCTGAAGGACCAGGGTTCGCCTTCCGGAAGGGCCAGACATTTTTCTCATCCCTACCGCTGGCCAAGCAAGGCCAGAGCCCCACCTTCGTCTAGTATTGAGGTCTACGATGCCTCCACGCCCCTCATACATCATATATATTACTAAGAAATAAGGGAAACTTCACGTTTTTACCTGTTTAGTAAGAGGGAAACTTATCGTGGAGTTAAACGCAAATTAGGTCAGGAAATCTTCACCAAGTCCGCAAGTGTTTCAAACTTCTTGCTCACAGCCGTACTGCATTACGCTTACGAGTTCTCTATTATGTATGAGGGCTGGTTTTAAACCTCTTCCCACTTCCTTACCCCTCGTTTATACTTTAACCCCCTTTTTCCTTCGAATTTCAAAACCCCATTTCTTGCCATTCTCTTAACAATCGTCCACTATCGATTCGCGAGTCTGAATGATGTGGTTTCAAAACGTCATTCAATGAATTCCTTATCTTCATCAAACACTTTATTACACACAATTGAAAATACATTCACTTCATTCGCTTACAAGACAGACTGAAGGTTTATGCCCTGTAAGAACGCTCAATAAAGTTATTCAACAAGTCTGCATGCAAATCACATATCAACACGAAGGAAAATGAATTCGGTTGAAATCTACACAAAGTCCGATAACGCCTTCACTGTGCTGCTAAGATTAATACGTTAAGCAAGGCTGTGATATGTAGCACGCATGTGTGGTATGAGACACGTATACAGAATTTTGGTAGGGAAATTTTATAGAAAGAGAACTTGAAATACCTAATCACTGATAATATTAAAATAAGCCTGTTTTAAACTGTCTCAAGAGATGGTCTAATAGTGGGATTTTGTGAACAAGATGACGAATGTCTGTCACAGTGATCCATTTACCATCAACTTGAAGCCCGGTTTATAAGATGCAAATTACTACTCATGATAACTATGTTTCCAGTAAAACTGGGCTATAGAACGCTATCTTACTGCGTTCAGTGGTCATTTCAGCAGAGATGGAACAGTGCCTTCTACCTGCAGATATATAGGACTTCCTATACTGTAGCTAGGGT